GGCAAGCTCCCCCCTTGCGCACCACCGCGCTCGCCGTCAAAGAGATATGTAGTCAGTGCATCAGGGATTCAATGAGTGCGCGCTGATTGAACCTTCTAAGAGCAAATGAAAGCCGATTCGAAAAGGGACAAGGGAAAAACAGCACAGAGGGCGCTAGGAGTATGGGGGGCATGAGCAAGAGCGGCCAAGCTGCCATTTCTGGGATTCTGGTGACGAATGCCGGCAAGGAGAGGGTGCGAGGAAAGGGAAAATAGGTGAAGAGGCGTGGCGCCACCTCAGCCACATCACACGCGAGGCGTGGCGGGTGCCAGGGCGGCCGCAGACGGCGACCGCGCCGGCGCGGCCAGGGGCAGCGAGCGCGCCAGCGCGTCGGCGGCCTCGGGCGTCAGCGTGGCGCCGTGCTTGGAGATGACGGCGGTGGCCACGCGCGCCGCGGTGCGGCCCATGCTGACCAGGTCGTGATGGCGCAGGTAGGCGTAGAGCAGGCCCGCGGCGTACGCATCGCCCGCGCCGCACGTGTCCACCGGAGGCGCGTCCATCCAGCAGGGCGGCACGCAGTGCAGCTGGCCCAGGGCGGTCATGTAGGAGCCGCGGTCGCCGTCGGTCACCACCACCACGGAGCAGTGCGGGCCCAGCCGCAGCGCCAGCTGCTCGCCCGTGGCGCAGTGGCCCGCGGCCGCCGCCGCCGCGCCGCCGCCCTGGCACGCCTCCCCGCGCGGCTCGTGGAGCAGCAGGGCTTCCGCCTCGCCCGCGTTTGTGAACAGCAGGTCCACGCCGGCGTCGATGGCGGCCCACATGGCGGCGGCGTGGCGGCGCACCACCCCGGCGTCGCCCGCGGTCATGGCCACCACGCAGCCGTGCCGGCGCGCCGCGGCGATGGCCTGCAGGGCAGGAGAGTGGGGGGCTGTGTGGTGAGGAGAGAAGGGCAGCCAAGCCGGCCCGCTGAGCGCCTAGGAAGCTTCCCGGCCGTTCCGCCGTCGTGACCACCTTGACCACCGCCGGGGCACTCCCCCCCTGCCCCGCAGCCGTGCAGCCGCGCGGCCCACCTTGGCGACGGTGCGCTGCGCCCCCGGCAGCTCCCACAGGTACCCCTCCACCACCAGCAGGCGGGAGCGGGCGATGGCGGCCTGCAGCGCCGCGTCCACCGCCACCTCCGCCGCCGTGCCGAGGTGCGAGCACATGGTGCGCTGCGCGTCGGGGCTGGTCAGCACTACCACGGTGCCAGTGGCGCCGCCCGCCAGCGGCGGCGAGGCCACGTGCACCCCGGCCGCCTCCATCTGCGCGCGGTAGAACTCGCCCAGCAGGTCGTCGCCCAGCAGGCCCGCCATGGCGACGCGCAGCGGCGGCTCGCCGCGTGCCTCGGCGGCCGCCCGCCCCAGCCGCGCAAGGCCCAGCAGCGTGTTGGACAGCGAGCCGCCGGCCGCCACCGAGTACTCGCGGCCCTCCAGCTGGGCCAGCACCGCGCCGCGCTCCTCCAGGCTGACCAGCCTGCGGGCGGCAGGGGCGGGCGGGGGGAGGTGTGCAGGCGTGGAGGTGGCGCGGCTGGGGCGGTGGAGGGCTGGAGAGGGAGCAATGCGGGGGCCAGGGTGTGCGCAACATGCCGGCCCTGCAGCCGCGGGAGGCGGGGGCTGTCACCTGCGGCTGCCCTTCTCCACTTGCAGGCGGGCCAGCATGTCATCGTCCACGGCCGAGGCAATGTCCACCATGGCCTGCGCCAGGCCCAGACAGTCGTAGAGGGTCTCCAGCGGCTCCCCAGGCGCGGCCGCCTCTGCCGCCGCCCCTTGCACGTCCAGCCCGCCGCTCCCCGCCAGCTCCACCTCCAGCCGGTTGTTGTGGCTGCGCTGCAGGCAGCTGTGGCCCAGCCTGGCGCGCTGCTGGAATGGCTGGTCGGGCAGGGAGGCGGCTGGCGCCTGGGAGAGGCCTCCTACTCCCCTCCGGCTGTTGCTGCCGGCACTGCACGCACCCCGAGCCCGAGTGGTGTTGCACGTGAGGCGCATTGTGGGATGCCGTCACACAGCAGCCGGGGAGGGAGCTTATAAAAGGTGGGAGAGGGTGGCTGCTGTATGCATGGCCGCCCGCGCGGTCCAAGCAAGGCCGTCCCAGTGTGAGGGTGTCGGGTGGGGCGGTGGGGTCGTCACGAGAGCTGCGACGCGCGTTTCCTGTGACCTTTTGTGGGCATGAGCCGGCTGCCAGCCCGGCAGCAATAGGAAAGGGCAGGAGCGCCGTCCCAGGGGCTCGGAAGCAACCAGCATCACTATCATCGCAAGCTTGCAGGGCACGGAAGCGCACAAACGGCCCGCACCATCTTCGCGCCAAATTGCAACCGATTGCAGCCCGATTGAGCCCGGCAGCCGTTCAGCCTGACGCAGCTTGCATCGCGGACAGTTTTACGCAGGCCGGCCTACAGACCCTCCTCATCAACCCTGTGCAGCACCATGTCAGAGCCAGCAGGGCTGGGCATGTCTCTTGATGACATCATCAAGAAGCAGGAGGTGGAGCAGGCCGGCGGCTACGGCAAGCAGCGGCGAGGTGGGCGCGGTGGCCGCGGCGGCGCCGCCCCCGCCGGCGGACGCGGCGGCCGGCAAGCGGGCGGCGCAGGGCAGCATGGCGGCCGGCAAGGGGGTGGCAGGGGGCGGCACGACGGGCACGGCGGCGGCGGAGGCCGGCCTCAGCAGCAGCGGTACGACCTGCGGCAGCAGCAGCAGCAGCAGGAGGCCGACGACTACCGCCACCTGCAGAAGTGCTGGCTGGAGGAGGGCAGCGGCGACGTCGTCTTCCGCTTCATGGCCACCGAAATCGTGCGCATCGACGGGGCAGGTGGGCGGCCAGGCGTGTGGCACAGGCACGGGTGTAAAGGACACCAGTGAGCCGCCGTGCCGGCGGGCATGCCTGCATGCCATCCCCGGGGCCCCTGCCCCACCCCCGGCTGCCCCTCCCTGCCCGCCCCTGCCTCCCTATCGCAGGCAACATCACGCTGCAGGCGGGCGGCCACCTGAACAGCGTGACCCTGGCCTCCATGAACGACGCGCTCAACCTCATCGGCATCCGCGTGACATGCCCCAGGTGGGGCGCACCCTTCACGCACGCACGCACGCTCCTGGTGCTGTGGCAGCCCCTGCCCTGCTGCCGTTGCGCCCTGCCGGGCTCCCAACCCTTGCTGTGCCAGGCTCCTGCACATGGGACGAGCATGGCGAGCAGGCGAGCGTGCCGATGGCGCCACCAGCCTCCCACAGCCGCCCCGCCCTCCCGCCCCGCCCTGCCCCCCGCAGCGGCGACGTGCGGTCTGGCGAGTGGAGCATCAGCGACGGGCGCAGCCTGACGCGGTTTGCCGAGGGCGTGGTGCTGCCCGCCAAGGGGCCGCAGCAGGCGGGCCGCGCCCGCCAGCTGCTGCTCGCCTTCAACTCGCCCAACCGCGTGCAGCAGGCGGCGGCGGCGGCGGCCTCCAACGCAGCGGCAGCCATGGCCGGGGTGCTCCCCTTCATGGGCCTCATCCCCCCGGGGATCCCTGCCAGCCACCCGGTGGCCGCACCCATCAACGGCGCCGCCGCCAAGCCCAGCGTCTTCTCTCGCCTGGGCGGCAAGCAGCAGGAGCAGCAGCGCTTCGCGCCCTACTGACGGCCAGGCGGCGCCACAGCCTGCTGCTTGCAGGCTGGCCTTTGGTTGTCGCAGTCGCAAGGATTGTAAGTGAAGCTGCTGGAACCTGACAGGACAAAAGCAGGGCAGCATTGCTGGCCGCGTTCCAAGTGCCGCTGGCCATGCTGGTATTGGGTGTAACTCGTAGAAGGGAGGATCGAGCGGGACTCTGAAGCTCAACAAGCAAGGGAGGAGGAGACAAAAGTGAGTGAGCTGGGAATTGGTAGTGATATTATATCGGGGGCGGGAACGTGGTACAGCTGGATAGAGTAGGGAGCGCGAGGTGTTGCCAAGGTAAACGGAGGTGGCGATTGATACGCGATGGTATGTTAGAGCAGGAGCTTTGATGCAGTTCACAAACAACAAAAGCTGGAAGGGGTCAGAGCATCGTACATGCCGTTCTGTACAAGACATTCAGTTGGGCGTTGGTCGGGGACGTGCGCGCATCCCCCCCCCGACTGATTTATTGGCTGCCAGTCGACTTGCCGGCAGCAGCGGTGCGGCTGCCACGCTGCGGCAGCACCCTGCGCGCCATGCTGCTCAGCGAGTGCAGCAGCGACGGCAGGCCGGCAGCCGCGCCGGCCGTGCCGTCCCGCCTCACGGCGCTGCCAGCGCGCCGCAGGGCCAGGCCCGCATCTGCGCAGATGTGGCGGTACGGGCTGCGACGCCTCACACGCCCGCCCTGCACCTCGACAGCGGGCCGGCGGTTGGCTGCCAGGCGGGCAGGCAGGCAGGGGGCGGCCTGCGCGGCGGGCGACCCCAGCCGCACTGCTGCCAACTGCATGCATGCATGCGCCAGCTGCAACCATGCATGCACCAGCCTGTGTGGGCCTGCCCCGCTCCAGCGCAGCCACCGCCCCATGCCCGCCCACCTGCAGGTGCGTGCAGGCCCAGCGCACGTAGCGCAGCCCCTCCACATCCACCTGCGGCTGCGCCACCAGCAGCGAGCACAGCAGGTCCAGCACCACAGCCGCCTCCGCCCTGGCCAGCGGGCTGTACCGCTCGTCCCGCCCCGCCAGCCCAAACGCCACCGCCCGCTTCTGCACCTGCTCCTGGTGCTGCTGCACCACCGCCGCATGCTGCTCGTGCAGCCCAAGGTCAGAGGCTCTGGCGCTGAAGGCGGGGCCCACGCTCATGCTGGCGACGTCGCCGTGTGGGTGCAGCGATGCCGGCTGCTGCTGCTGCGGCTGCTGCTGCGGCGGCGGCGGCTGCGGCTGCGGCTGCGACACCTGCTCCTGCTGCTCGCCCCCCGCCTCCGCTGCCGCCAGCAGCCCCGCAGCCTCCCACCTGCGGTAGCCATCCGATTGCCGCTGCTGCTGGCTGCTGGCGGCAACCATAGCCGACAGCTGCGGGGTGGGCTGCTGCTGCAGCGGCAAGGGAGGAGCGCCGCTGCGCCTGCCAGCCGCACTGTTCGCTGCTGCCGCTGTGTCCAGCAGCGCTGCCAGGTGGCTGCTGCGGGGCCGGAGCAATGTCAAGCCGTCCCCAGCAGCCGCAGTGAGCCCGCCCGCCTGTGCCACAGCCGGCAAGGCCGCTGTGCCGCAGGCAGCTTCTGTTTCGGCGGGCGGCGGGGCTGTTGCCGCTGCTGCTGGCAGCGCCGCTGCCAGCGGCAGCTCAAACGGGCTGGGGTGCAGCAGCGCCCGCGAGTCACCGGCAGCGACGCCCAACAGCATCCTATCGGCGTGCGGCTGCTGGCCGGCACTGGTCGGCGACAGCGAGATGGAGCCAAAGGCACCGCTGGCGACACCGCCCTGCCCTGCTGCGGGTGAGGGCCATGCGGCAAAGGAGCCAAAGGCATCGCTGCTGCCGTCAGCGCCGCTGTGTGTGCCAGCGGCGCTGGCATTGCTGGGTGCAGGCGCCTGCTGCTGCTCCTTGCCATCAGTCCCAAGCCGACCAGCAGGCGACGGCTTCTGGGCGGCTGCGGATGGATGCACAAGCTGCCAATGGCCTCCGCTGTCCAGCTGCGCAATGTTGCTGCGAGGCAGGACACCTGCAGCAGCACGTGCTGGTGCAAGGGTGGCTGGGCCGGCGGCGGGCATGCCGCGCCGCTTGCCCCTTGACTGGCTGCCGCGACCGCTGGGATCCGCGCTGCCGGTCAGCGCAGCGTCTGGGCGCGCCATCCAAGCATAGGCGCCGCCTTCAAGGTCCGCAACCCGCCGCTGCAGAGGGTCCTCATCGGCCGAAGCGCAGGCGCAGGCGGGTAGGGCCCCCCACAGCCGCGGCCCGGACCACCAGTGCTGCTGCGCCGCCTGCCACGCCCAAAACTCCTCTGCAGCAGGAAGTGCAGCAGCAAGTGTTCAGAAGCAGGAGCGCGTTGTTGACAACAGGACAGGGCGGTGTGGGCTGGCTGCCTGCGGGAGGCCTCCGGCTTGCTGTCCGCCCGCCAGTGCTCACCGCTGGATGGGAGTGGCACCCCCAGCAGGTGCAGCGCCAGGAGGCAGTGAGCCTTGGCATCGTGCACCGACTCGTCTGCAGGTGAGGGCAGGCGGGGTGGGCACCAGCGCAAGCAGGGTTGTAAAGGGAAGTGGCTCAGCGGCTCGAGAGAGCGCCAATGAGCTGGGCTGCCAGGGAACAAGAGGCAAGGCCAGCCCTGTGCAGGCATGGACTTGCACAATGAGCCTGCCAGGCCTGAGCATCTCCGGTCAGAGCAAGCGCAGCGCGGTCCCTGGAGCGCACCCGTCGCCTCCGCAGCAATGCACATTGCCGCCATGCACCGCTCCCAGTGCGCCCGCCGCAGGCGCGGCACCAAAGGCAGCAAGTTGGCACCTGCACAGGTGCAGTGTGCAGGCGTGAGCACAGCCAAAGCGGCCCGAGGCCTCATGGATTGGGCACGGGCAGCCACGGGCAGGGAGGCGCACAGGCCGGCTGATCGGCACGCACTTCCAGAGAGGACTGGCGGCATGGCAGAGCCTCGTGTGGATGCCGCGGTGTCTGCCGTCAGCCCTGTGGATGCCCCTGCCAGCAGCAGGGAGCCTGCAGGCAGGCACGCACAGGAGGGAGGGATGGGCTTGGCGGGTACAGCAAGGCGCCCCAGGCAGGCGCCCCCATAGCGGTGCTTGCACCCCAGGCAGTAGCTGGTACCGCCGGGCAGGCAGCGGGTGTGCTCAGTGCGCCTACCCATGGCTTCCGCCACCGACGCCGCCCCGGAGGAGGCCAGCAGGCTCTGGTGGTGCATGAGGAAGAAGGAGCGGCTGTGGCCGGTGAAGTAGTCCTCCAGGGCCGCCGCCACATCCTGCGGCGGCGGCAGGGGTACGAGGGCACGGACGCAGCACTGAGCAATGCGAGATGGCCGGGTGGAGCAGCACGTGCGTGTGTGCAGGAGGATGGCGAGATGCGTGGTTCACAGACTGCTGGGAGGAGGGCGCATGCGGCCTCCCGAGTCTGCACCCCGCGTGTGCTGTCCCCGCCCCACCTGCGCCTTCTGCAGCAGCGGCAGCGCGTCGGCGTAGCCGCCGTTGTCCAGCGAGGCCGCCGCCGAGCGCTCCCACCACTCCACGGCGTGGAAGCTGCGCTGCCACTGCGGGCGGGCAGGCGGGGCAGGGGAGGGCGGGGTGGTTGCGTGGGGAGGGGAGCCCAGCCAGGGGAGCCCAGGAGGCACATGGTGTGTGAGTCGCGGGGCTTCCGTCCGATGCGGTGGAGCGGCAAGGTTTGGGCCCAGCTGGGGCCGTCCACGCCCGCCCCACCACCCACCCCAGCACGCCCGCCCACCTGCGACGCCTCCACGTCGCGGCAGCTCTGGCTCCAGTGCCAGGCAATGGTGCTGGGGGGCAGGCGGAACTGGGCGGAGGAGAAGGCCTCCATGGCGGCGGCCGCGGCGGCGTGCCAGTCACGGCGCAGCTCCTTGGGCACCATCTCGTACACCACATCACGCGCCAGCACCTGTGGCAGGCGGCAGGGTCGGCTGGTTGGTGTGGGTGGTGGTGTGCGAGGGGTAGGCGTGGACGGACGGTGTGTGTGGGGGGGAGGTTGGGCACGTGGTGCGACTCGCGCCCCCCTGCATGCTCCCAAAACATGCCGGCCAGCCTGCCTTGCGCCCACCTGGCAGAAGCGCCAGGTGGAAACATCCTGCGGGTCCTGGCGAAGGAAGGTGGCAGCCTCCAGCGCACACAGGCTGGCCTCCACGGCAGGCAGCGGAGGGTGCTGCGGGTGGGTGGCCTGCGAGCATACAAGCAGGGGATGGTTGGGTGATGGTTGGGTGGTGCGCTTGCTTCGTGCGCTCTGGCATCACCCCGCCAAACACTGGCACGCCTGCTGGCCCGGGCCGCCAGCCCCATGCCCCACGCCCGGCTGCTTGCCTGCAGGAGCTGGCGGTAGATGGTGAGCCCCAGGACTGAGGCCACCTTGAGCGTCAGCTGCTCCTCGGGCCGCAGCCGGTCCACGCGGTCTGCAGGGTGTGTGTGCGGGGGGTGTGGCGGGAACTGCGGTGCGGGACGCCTGGCGATGATGCAGGCGACAATCCGCAGAGCAGGTGCTGGGGGCTCCGCCTAAGCCTGCCGACCCCGCCACCCCAGCCCGCCACCCACCTGTGATGATTGAGTTGATGGACACATTGTTGCGGATGAAGTCCAGCCCAGCCTGAGCCACCGCCTGCACCTCCTCCACGGTGCCGTGCCGCCCGGGCCTGCGGCAGTGGCGCAGCACGGCATGGCATGTGGGAGCGCGGGGGAGGAAAATATAAAACAAACTCTGGGAAGGGGCAGCACACGTCGTGGCAAATGGGCAGTGTCGTGTGGCAACACAGGTGCTGCGCACCTCAAGATGCCGACCTCGCCGTTGGCGGCCGTCTGGAGCTGGGTCTGGACAAACAGCTGCACCGGGCAGTGGAAGCAGTGGAAAACGCAGTGGACAGGGAGGGGAAGCCTAGGATGAGGCGAGGGGGATCAGAGGTAATCCCCACCCATCCATACCGTGACCCCAAGCATGCGAGGCGCAGGCACCGCAGCGCTATGCTGTTGTGCTGCGTGCCTGCAGGAAGACCACCAGCTGCTCCAGGAAGGAGGGGAGCCCGTTGGAGCGCTCCCACAGCAGCACCGCCACTTCGGGGGGCACCTGCACCGACAGCCGGGGGAGGTGACGACAGGAAGTGCAGCCATTGGCGCGTCTGAGCAAGGCGTGGCTGGGCAGCAGCATGAGCCAGGGCAGGTCAGCAGGACGGCGCGAGGGCCACAGGCGGGCCCCAGCCCCCACCTGCGCGCCTCCCAGAGCAGCCGACACAAACTGGCAGGACTGCTCCACGTTGAAGGGTTGCAGGACCAGGTGCAGCGCAGAGGGCTGCAACGCGGGTTGCAGGAGGGATGGAGAATGGAGCAATTAGGCTGGCTGACGGATCCCAAACCGTGCGGCAAGTGCGGGAGCCAGCATGCACACGCACATGCCCATACTCAAGAGCTGGCCAACTGCCCAGGCACGCCTGAGCGTGTCCAGGTGCATGGGTGATGTCGGCTCACCTGGGCGAGAAGGGTGCGGTACGCCACCTGCACCCGATGGTACCGCAGCTCCTTGCCGCCTGGCCGCTGCCGCAGCGCAGGCGACAGCGCGCCAAAGTTGGGCCTGCGGGTTGGGCCGGCGGCGGAGCGAGCCCGTGGTGAGGTGCAGCGATGTGGGGGAGAGCCCAACAGAGCATTCAGGGTCATGCGGCGCCTATGCAGGCTGCCCAGCCCCCTCCCCCTGAGGCCGACATGCAGCCATCCCATGCGCTCTGTGGCACCTGTAGGTGAGGATGAACAGCACGCTCTGGCGCAGGACCTCGTCGCCTATGGCGGTGGTGAGCAGGCGCCAGCTGGCGGTGTCAAAGTGGTGCAGGTCCTCTGCGAGGCGCAGGCGGGGCAGCAGGGAGCCAGAGATGGGCATAGCAGGGCAAGTGCAGCAACTCCCATGCGTGCATGCATGCATGCGTGCAAACAGGGCAGGCAGGCAGGCACCCTGAACTCTGGGACGTCTCCAGGGCAGCCACTGGTTCCTGTGAGCAGCCGAGGCGCACCCAGAACCAGGACGAGTGGGCCGTAGGCGGCGATGAACTCCCGGATGACGGCCACAACCAGCTCCTGAACCTTCTTGGCCTGCAGGGCCAAAGGTTGACGGCAGCACCAAATGCAGCATGGAGGGCGGGCAAGCAGCCATTTGTGGCATGCAGGTGCGGGCAAGAACCAACAGATGGGGGGCTCCAGCCGGCCTCGCGCCTCACCCTGAGGTGTGTGCTGATCTCCCTGGCTGGCGTGCTGGACCGCAAGGCCAGCACCCCTGCCCTGCTGGTAACCGAGCGCTGCATGGGCCACGGCTGCTGCCCTCTGCCCCGCCCCAGGCTGCTGTTCCTGGACTTGCCGCGCAGGCTGGAGCTGCCGAGGCGCGCGCTGCCGTCACCACCGCCCTCGCTGCCGAGCTGCGCTGTCGTCGGGGTGCCGGGTATGCTGTGCACGCTGCCAGTGAATGAAGAAGCGGGGCTGCTGGAGTAAGACCCCGAGTCGCTGCTGCTGTCGCTGCCGCTGCCATCACCGCTGCTGACGGAGCTGGGTGCCCCATGCAGCAGCGCTGGTCGCTCTGCTGCGGCCGCCGCCAACTTGGCTTGCTGCCACACGGTTACCTCCTGCTGCTTGAGGATCCGAGACCTGCGCGCAACCCAGCATGGCCAGCCAGGTAACCGGCCCACGCTCAACACAGTGCTGTACTGTGCGGGGGCAGACCGAGGGCTAGCCTGTCTGCCGCTCGATCAAGTGATGAATGAATGCATGCTCCGCCAAAGCCCAGCAGGCACTCACATTTTGCGGGGGGATGGCGTGGCGGTGGCCCTCAGCCTGTCCAGTTCACTCACGGTGGGCGACTGGCTGCGCCCGCTGTCCTGGACCTCCCAGGTGCCGTGGTCGTGGTGCCGGGGCGCCAGCATGCCCAGTGTCAAGCTGGCTGCATAGCATACAGCATACAGGTTTGCCAAAGAAACAGCATGGGCAGCAGGTAAGAAAAGTCATGATTGCGCATGTCGGTCGGGTGCTGTGGTCACATAAGCAGAGCGTCTGACCGCGCACCTGAGCGCTTCATGCGGGCGGCAAACGAGCGCGCTCGGTCGGGGCCGGACAGGAACGCCTCCTCCTCTTCCCTGCAGCAGAGAATCGACAGGGCAACGCCACAGCATATTATTCAGTGCTGATAGGCTGGGCAGGGAAAGAAGCACTCGAGCATAGCCTGCCACCAACAGCAGCAACAGGAAACTAACAGGATGCCCAGCCATCACCGGCCACTCACGCACCCCAGGCCTGCTTCGGCGGAATGGAGCAGTGCACCGGGGCTGGTGCTCACTGTTGCTGCCAGCTGCTGCGCTGCCTCCAGAAAATCCAGGTGGGGAGGCGAGCCCTGCAGCTGCAGGCAGAGCGCCAGCAGGCAGCAATGGGGTGAGCATGGAAACTCGAAGGGTGGCCTTGATGTATATTTGGCTGTGCCTCCTGGAAGGCAGTACAGTACCCACCCCTTGTGGCGGCGACCCTCCCTCGAGGTGGCGCTGCTCCAGCAGAAGCTTCCTGTGCTGCTCAGGCGTGGGCAGCGCCGCAGGGAACTCTGCGGCAAGGGGTTGCAAAGGCAGGCAAAGTTGGGTGCATGTGTGGGAGGCAGGGCAGGGGCCAGGCAAGAAAGCTCCAAGTGGCCCCTCCAGGTGCCAACCTGACAGCGGCAGCTCCAGCGCATCTGCCAGCAGGTGGCGCCACTGCGCAAAGTCGGGCACCCCCTCCTGCAGCCTCAGTGCCAGCTCGGTCACCACCTGCACCAAGCAGCAGCGGCAGGCCACATGTTTGCGGATCCCCTGTGGCTGGTGCAGCAGCGTGCCAGCAGCAGGAGCAGCAGCAGGAGAGAAGCTTGTGGGCGCTTGCTGGCCCGCCAGGCTCACTCACCACCGTGGGCTGGAGGTCCTTCAGGCAGTACACCTGGCCCAGCTGGCGATCGTGGTGGAACATCTCGCGCAGCACACGCCGCCATGGATACAACGCCTGCACAGCACCTCGACGGTGTGGCCCATCTCGAGCTTTGAAAACAACAAGGGAAGGTGGACACCGCGATGGGTGGCATACAGGCAATCGAGCAGGCTGCAGCTGCCTGGGCGCCCCGCAGCAGGCCTGGCCGCCGCGCACCTGGCTCTTGCGCTCCCGCCTGCCCAGCCCCAGGAACAGGTTGCAGCTGTCATACACCCCGCCCAGCTCGCTGCAGGCCGGCAGGCAGGCAGGTGGCAGGCACGGTTTGAGCGACACGGTGCGGCCTGCTGCACCCCGCATGGCGCCTGCGCTATCCGCCTTGCTGCATGTGTACAGGCAGCCCTGGCGCCCACCCTATCCGCCCACCTCTGCTGCAGCTCCTCCACCAGCCTGCTCTTCCCCATGCCGGCCTCGCCCTCCACCATCACCACCCCGCCCCGCTTCTGCTGCACCAGCTCCACGCAGCGCTCTGTGATGGCTGCCAGCTCTGACTCGCGGGCTGCAGATCAGACGGTGTGGTGCAGGGGCGTGGGGGGGAGTGAGCAGCTGCCCAGTCGGGGATACCAAGCAGTGAAGAGGTCAGTCGCTGGCAAGCAAGCAAGCATGAGTGTGCACCAGGCTGCACGCGCCCCCGGCTGCCGTACCGATCATTGGCGCGTTGGGTGCGAGCTTGATGGGGGCTGCCGCGGTGGAGGCAATGGACAGCAGGCGGTCGCCCAGCCCCAGGCTGTCGGAGCCCTGGGCGGTGGGCGCCTGCGGGAGCTCCTCTGCCTGCGGCTGCAGCTGCAGCAGCTGGGGCGCCAGCGCGCTGGCCAGGCTCTCCAGCGCCCCGCCGCTGCCGAGCACCGCGCCTGACAGCCGCTGCTGCGGCGACGGCGCAAAGCTGCTGCGGCGGCTCCGCGCCTCTGTCAGCCCTGCCGCCGCGGCCACCGCGGCAGCTGCTGCCACGGGCGGCACGGCGGGGAGGGGCTGCGGGCCCAGCGGGGAGTGCAGCAGGCGCTGGCCCGGCGCGGTGGCCCCTTCCAAGTCCAGCGAGGCCACCTCGAAAATCTCCACCGGCTGCTGCCGCCCCTTGACGCGTACCGCATCCAGCTGGCGGTACACCGCCTGAACAGGATGGCAGCAGGTGGGTTGCTGGAGGGTCAGCTGCCTGTGCCCATGGGGCAGCAGGATGTCCAGCCTGCGCGGCAAGTGCGGCGAGCTGCCGCAGCTGGTGCGTACCTTGTTCTTGGCCAGCTGCTGGGTGGTGGCGTCGCAGTACACGTCGGCAAACCGGTCCCGCGCCCGCACCATCAGCCGGGCGCTGCAGGCAGAAGAGAAAGTCCGATTGGGGGGGAGGGAGGGCAGGCGCAGCGGTGCAGAGCCGGTGGAAGGGGTGGCAGTCCAATGCTGATCTTAGGTTGGGAGCGTTTGGGAACGAGTCGAGTCTGGGCACGAGTGGGTAAAACATTGTATACAGTTGGCCGCGGCCCTTGCCCAGGTGGGGGGGCGGTGGGCCCACGCACCCCGCCCACCCCCAGCCCAGCCCACCAACCAGCCACCCCTGAGCAAAGTCCAGGTGCCAGGCAGGGTCGAGTTTGTGCCCACCTGAGGTTGATGGCGTTGCCGAACACAGTGTACTCTGAGCGCCGCTGCGACCCCACCATGGCGCAGAACAGCTGGCCGGTGGTAACACCGCAGCAGGCGCGCCCGCCGCGCCGCTGCAGCGCAGGCAAGGCCCGCGTGTCGGCGTGCCGCTGGCCACCCAGGCAGGCAGATGGGTCGGGAGCAGGGCCCAGACGCAGCCCTACCATTTCACTGTGCACAGGCAGTGGAAAGCCTGCCCCCCGCCCACCTTGACTGCCTCCACGATGGCCAGCGCTGCCTGGATGCCGCGGGCGGGGCCATCCTCGTGGCTGCGCCCCGGCAGGCCAAAGGCGCAGATGGCCAGGAAGCCCTTCTCGTCGCAGCGGAACTGCGAGGCAGGCGCAGCAAAGGGCATGTGTGACAGTGGCGGGAGGAGTGAGATGTGGCCGCGGGGGCACCTGCCACCGGCTCATAACAGGCACTTGGCAGGCACCGCCCCCAGCGACCTATGTCTGGCACAACCACAGCTCGCTCGCTCGCTTGCCTGGAGGAAGCTGCCGTCGTGCTGGCGCATGCGCTTCTGCACAACCTCCATGCAGGCCTGCACCGCGCCCAGCCCTGTGCGCGCCGTGCCGCTGCCGGTCCGCGGCGGCGGCTCCAGCAGGGAGGGGAACCCCAGGAACAGCACCGTGCCCACCCTGCACTCACCAGCGGCAGGCGGGATGGGCGGTGCATTCAGCGGCAGCGCAAACACTCCTCACAGGCTCAACCTGGCACATGCCGCGGCTGCTGGGGAGA